CAATCAAAATACGTTCGGGATCTATAATAATTTTATTTTTCATATTATGCAGTTCAATTCTGAATTAAGAAAAAAGGCTGCTATTATATACATGTACATAATTATCAGTCTTAGAGAAACTACCATTCAAAACATCGATGACGTTTTATGGAGGTGTTTATAGATCTATCAATAACCACTAGAAGTTATCAAAAATGAAATATTTTGTACTAATTGCGAAACAAAGGTGATGAGGAGTTTAAATAATATGTTATTGAATAAAGTAAACTCTTTATATTATTGAGGAAACTGAAGTTTTTAATGCAGAATATTTGTTTAAATGGTTTCCATTCGTAATTTGTTCCTAGATAATATAGCTTAAGTTCGAATTTTCGCAATGAAAAGATTTTGTATTGATGGTAATGCAAGTTAATGTCTCAGAATTTCTATAAAATTTTATTTTTTTTTTCCATTCAAACCTATCTGAAAGAAATAACTTCTCTAAACCGATACTTTCAAATTGAGATCAAGCAATTACTATCAGTTCTTGTCCTTTCGTTTCTGAAAACTTCTTGAATGCTCTAGAACAAGATCAAAAGTTAACTTTGTATTCTTATTTTTAAAGTGATTACATAATTTCGATTCTGATCATAAAACATTTTAACACTTAGAGAGGTGTGGAACTATCTGTTCTTGTTAGGATAAATATGGCTATTTCGAATAGAGACTTCTAAAGAACTACACTAGTCGGTAATCAATATCGGCTTGCGTATCTGAGTATGACAGTTTTAATGAGTGATGAATTCGAAACTAAGTAATTTTTCGATCTTCAGGTTAAAGAACAAACCAATTTATAAATATTTCGATAAAAGTTTGTACTTACCAGAATCTTCATGTGCTATATCTTGATAATCATCATGTTTCGATTGCCATGAGGATAAACCTACAATTGAGAGCAAACTTTTTTTGATAATATCAAATTTGATTTAATGCCTGAAGAACTATTATAATAAATAAATGGATTTCATGGATCGTTTTGTACAAGACGTTTTCCAGAAAACTTAATTTCTATATTAAAATGTTTATAAAATAGTAATGCCCGCGAATCATATCATTTATTTTGCCTTTGAGAAAGGCATTTCAAATCATACTATTATTATTATATACACTACTCTTAGACAATTCGATATTCATATTCAGCTTTTCTATTTCTCGAGTTTTTTGTTCTAGATTTGTAAAATAGTACAATAGGCGATAATGCGACACTTAACACAAAAAGAGCGTTTATTCGTCGTTAAAGAAGCACAAAAGCCAAACAAAAAACTTAGTACAATTGCACGTGCACTTAGTTGTGATCGTCGAACAGTTAGTCATGTTCTTGGTCGTTTCCATGAAACAGGATTATTAATCGACCAAGAAAAACCAGGTCGACCAACTGCCCTTACTGACAGTCAACAGAAGTTATTAGATAAGTATATCTCAAAACATCCAACTGCAACGGCTAATCAACTTTCTAATTATGTCTTTAATACGTTTGGTATTCGAGTGAGTGGACGCACGTTACAACGATATCGTCGCACTCTTGGATTTTGTCCAAGGAAACAACATATCAAAGTTAAATCAACACAAGGTCAAGTCGAAAAACGACATTTATTTGCAGTACAACATCAAAATAGTAATATCAAAAAGTGGATTTTTATTGACGAAACTCAAGTACAATTACGTAACACAGGTACAATTGTTTGGGTAAAGCGTGGTGAACCAACGCCGATTCATGAAATTTCTTCTCTTCGTGCTTATGCCAACTTATGGGGTACAATCTGATGGAATGGTAAAACATTCGCAAGGTATGATAATTACATCAATCAAACCATATATCAGCAACTGTTAGAGTATCACCTTGGTCCGTATATACACAAATGCCGTCGTTATGCTGTAGCTCAAGATAAATTAAGATCACATTGGACAAAACCAATTCGTCAGTGGTTTGAAGATCATGGGCTCCAGTTATTAGATTGGCCACCTCACTCGCCTGAATTCAACGCAATCGAGTATGTTTGGCACTCACTCAAGGAAATGGTTAGAATGGCACAACCAAAAACTCAAGCTGAGTTGGAAGCGGCGGTCGACGAAGCATGCTTGCTCATTTCACAACAAACCGTCCAAGGGTGCATTTCACATATTTCTACTTTACTCAAAGAAGAAGCAAGTAATTAAAAGGACATTATGTGTGTAGTGAATGTTTAGAATTTCTCTCTTTATGTATATATTGTACTCTAATTTCATGTGTTGAAATAAAGAAAAATACTCATCTGAAAAGGGGCATTACTTTTGTCGCGCACTGATTGTGACTTCATTTCAATATGCTGGTAACGTTGACAAATATTTTCTTGTAAGAATTCTTTAGTCTTGAAAATATAGAAAAAAACAAAGAGATCTCTCAAGTTATCTATATTCTTTGTTCTCTTTCTTGTACAGTAAACGATTTCACTACAAATTTTTTCTTGATACTGAATTAAATCGTCCAGAAGAAAATATTGCTTCTCAGTAAATCTTAATGCACATTTATCTTATTGTTTGAGGAAAGAGAAAACGATCGATGCTTACTAGTTGATGTCTGTTCGAATTGGCTATTTGAAATTAATTGAGTTGATTTAGCTGCTTCTTGTTCCGCTTCAGTTAATTCTTGTAAATGAACTAGCGTTAAAGTGTTATCTTCCTTATATGGTTCAATATTTTTTACCACCAAGTGAGT